AGCAGCAGAGAAGCTGCGGCTACAGGCCGATGCAGACGCAGATGCCCAGGCTCGCCGCAAGGAAGCCCAGGATCTGCTGCAGCGGCATGAAGCCAACAGCATCGACAGACTCAAGTACTGGCATTTTAAACCGAACGGCGACGAGGCAACACCGGAAGAGAAGCACAAGGAGTTTCTCTCCAAACTCGTGACGCGGTTGTTGTATGCTTGCAACTACCAACGGTCAGAGTTGGAGAGACAGTACCGGGACCTGACGCAACTGCATCAGGAGTTGGCGACGCTCCACCGCACAGTGCAGAGCCACGAGGATGCAACTCGGGCACTCAATGCCCGATTGTTGGACTTGGAACAAGCTGTACCAGGACCAGTTGCTGGAGCTTCCAGCAGTGCACCCTCAAGCCGCCAACTGGAAGACCGCGTTGACCACGTAGTGGCAATGCTCGGCGACATCAGCACCTTCGCTGCGCCGACCACCACCATCAGCAGTCAGCTGCATACATTGAAGACCGAGGTCCAGAAGCTGCAGTCGACGAACGCGGACGACAATCTGAAGATGTACAAGATGCCAACTTTCAACCTGGAGAGGTTCGACGACTACACGCAGCAGGATCCCGTCCTTTGGTGGGAAGCATTCACAACGCAACTCAGGATTCTGCCAGTAGCCAAGCATGCGTACATCGACGCCCTGTTCCTGAACTCAAAGGGCGGATGTCAGACCTGGTTGAGCCACATGGCAACCTCCCACGACGTCGACGTACCAGACTTGAAGGACGTAATCACATGGGAGGAACTGACACGGCTGTGGAAGAAGCGGTTCATCGTCGACGACGCGCCGACACTCGCCATCAACCGTTTGTTCACCATGTCACAGGGCAACACAGCAACACAGGACTGGCTCACGGAGTGGCAGAAGATTGCGGCTGTGCCCAATCTGAACCTACCATCCGAGCATCTATGTCGTGAGTTCTACAACAGGTCCTGTGCGGCATTGAGCCAGACTCTTGGTGATCGCGAGCAGTACTCAACCTTCGCGGAGATCATTGACAAAGCGAGGGAGATCATCAAGACCAACAGGTCAGCTGCACACGAGAAATCAACATCATGGCAGCCGACCTATGTGGAGAAGGTACTAACTGGTCCGCGACAGCAGCATTTCGCTGCAGTCCAGCAGGACAGTGGAAATAACCCAGCAGCCACTCCATCATCAAGTGACGGAGATCAGGTGGCCGCTGTCCAGCCACGAAGCACCAACAAGTCCCGCAACAATGGGAAGGCGAAATCCGCATCGCAGGCCGGAAATGGACAGCCAGGACAGTTTCCATGGGTCAAGTTTGGCTTGACCGAGGCGGAGTACAAGGTCCCCGGCCGCTACGGCAGCTGCTATTGGTGCAACAGCACCAAGCACAAAACCTCCCTGTGCCAAGATCAGGGCAAGGAGGATGTGCGACCCCGCCTCAGCTCGGGAAACTGAGCTCCGCGGAAGGTGAGGCGACTCCACCTTCTACTCCGCCAGATTCGGCCGCCTTGCTAGCGGCCTCCTGCACATCTGGGGAGGATGCGAATGCCGCAAGTCCTCGGTACACTTACGAGGATTATGCTGTCCACTTGGTTCCACCGCTGGACCAACCGCTCCACGTGCAACAGTCCACCGCATGCACGGTTTCATCACCATCGGCAACCGATTCGGCAGCTTCGCCGCAATCTATCGTCGGGGATTCGACGTCATGGTCAAGACTTGATGAGCTCGATCCGTTGACGTTCACGGACTTCCAGTGGATGCCCGTTCCCTCGACCGGACGATTGTCGAAACCGCATCGCAACTTGCTTATGGCACAATTGCGGGACTACTTGCACACTGCAGTACCAGCTCCGTTGATGGACGCCGGAGCAAAGGTTGTCGACCTTCACGCTTTCATCGCGAAGATCGACCGCGAGTTCAAGACGCAACGGTACGACGACATCGACGCACCATTGCTATACATACCCATTCAGATCGGAGAGGCGACCTGCAGTGCCTTGATCGATTGCGGAGCATCTCGCAACTACATCGGCCAGGACTTCATGGTACGCGTCGGCCTTGGCCCACGTGATCCACGCATCACCGAACTTCTCGACGCCTACAGCGACGTGTTCGAAGGCCCGCACGGAGTAGTACCGGATCGACCCATCCGCCACGAGATCATCCTCGAGGACGGGGCCGTACCTCCGCGCGGTTGC